AAAAAAAAAATGTTGGTCGCGGTCGAGTAAAGCTCGCTCGCGCGATGTGCCGTCGTAGCACGCCGACCCGGATCGCCCGACACCAAGGTCGAGGAACGAGACTGACACCCTTCATCCGTAAGAGCCTCAACGACTCGCAGCGACGCGGCCATCCCGAGCGGTTCGCGCCTTTCCCACGCTCAACCTCGCGTCTGGCAGCAGGGCTATCGATATCGTGGCGCACTCCATCGCTTGGCGCCTCGTCTCTGTCGTCGGAAGATCCGCGCGACGCTGCTTCGAGGTGGCTGCTGCTGCTGGATCAGCAGGCTCGGCAACGATAGCACCAGCAGAGCATCGCATCTTGGACGGCTCGTCACGATGGCCGAGGTTGCGAGACGCATCCCGTCCCAGCCCGACGGCGGCTCGAGCTCGCGCTCCTACAGCCAGTCGCCGCAGAAAAAGTCACACCACCGGTCGGAGTCGCAATCGAGCCCAAGCAAAAAGGCCGCCGCGAACGGTGTAGACAAGAGGACGTCGGCTTCGTTGCCAAGCTCGCCCTCCAAGGAGGAGAGGAAGAAGCTCGCCAAGCAGATCCTTGCTACAGGCGGCGACCAGCTGCGCGCCACGCTCAAGCAGCGCGGCATGCTCCACGCGCTCCTCGCCGACCCGGTCAAGTTTATAAAGTCGGCGCAGAAGCAGGGTCAGGACTACACCACGCTCGGACTCACGCCTGTCAACGATGCCAACTTTGCGGCAGCACAGAAGCGAAAGCAGGAGCAGAAGCAGCATGCGCTCTTGCTTCATACCGACTCGCCCAAGATCAACGGCGCCTCGGCGCACGATGCCGAAGCGACGGCGTCGGCGCCCTCCTCGCCCACCAAGGCCGCCAAGGCCAGGTCGCGCGACCTGTATCCGTACAAGATCTCGCTGCGCTTCCCGGGCAAGGTGCGTACGGCTGCGGCGGGGCTGTCGAACTACGGCAACACGTGCTACATGAACAGCGTCATGCAGGCGCTCGTGCACACGCCGCCGCTCGCGTTTGCGCTGCTCACGCAGGAGCTCGATGTGCTGCACGGCGAGTGGGGCGGCAAGCCCAACGCTGCCTTTGACGCCGTGACGGCGATGCACAGCTTTGCCAAGCGCTCGCTCCAGGGCACCCGCCCCACCAATGCGCCGCAGGAGTTCAACCGCAACCTCAAGGCGTTTGCCAAGCCGCTCCGGCAGGGACGCCAGGAGGACGCGCACGAGTACCTGCGCTTCCTGCTCGAGGCGCTGCAGCAGAGCTGCCTCGCGCGCGCACCCAAGTCGCTCAAGCCCGACGACCCCGCGCGCCGCACGACGTTCGTGCACAAGACGTTTGGCGGCAAGCTGCGCAGCCGCGTCACGTGCCACAGCTGCGGCCACAACTCGGACACCTTCGACCCCTTCATGGACCTCAGCCTCGACGTGCGCAAGGGCATCAACTCGCTCACCGACGCGCTGCGCGCCTTTGTCGCCAAGGACCACCTCACCGGCGCCGAAAAGTACAAGTGCGACAAGTGCAAGCGCAAGGTCGACGCCACCAAGCAGTTCACCATCGACGCCGCACCGCCCGCGCTCACCGTGCACCTCAAGCGCTTCACCGTCTTTGGCGGCAAGGTGTCGCGCCAGATCGCCTTTGACGACACGCTCAACATCGCACCGTACCTCTCGGTCAACAACGGCCCGGCGAGGTACAGGCTGTACGCCACGGTGCACCACTACGGCTCGGGCCCCAACAGCGGACACTATGTGGCGAGCGTGCGCTCGCCATCGGGCAAGTGGATGCGCATGGACGACAGCCACGTGGCGGAAATGGGCCGCTCCGGCCCCACCAACGACCAGAGTGCCTACATCCTCTTCTACCTGCGCGAGAAGGACGAGGCTCTGGAGACGGCGCTTGCGGCCGTCGCGCCCTCCAAGAGCGCGCCGACGTCGCTCGAGGCCAAGAAGCGCAAAAAGGCAGCAGTGCAGGAGACCGTGTCCGAGTCCGAGTCCGACGCGAGTGCGGACGAATTTGACGACCAAGCGGCCCACCGCGATCTGCTCAAGCGCCGCAAGGCGAAGAAGGCGGCTGCGCTGCAGGCGCGCGCCGAGTCGGACGACAGCAACGACGACGCTGCGGACAAGCCTGCATTGGGTGGTCCGAGCGCGAAGCTCGACGAGCTGCTGTCGGCGCGTCCCAAGTCGGCGGCGAGCTTCTACGGCTCGAGCAGCGGTCGGCCTGCGAATCCGTTCAGCATGCCGAGCGCCGACGACGAGGAGCTCGGCACGAGCGTCGACCGCGACGAGTACGAGGCGATCGTGGGCGACTCGCCGCGCAAGCCCACCACGCGCACGATCGACCCCGAAGCCGATGATTCGGATGACGATGCCACAGTAGCGGCCGCAGCCTTGTCCAAGAAGGAGAAGCGTCGGCAGAAGAAGGCTGCGCAGGCCATTGGCGTCGCCAAGGCGGGTCGGGGCGTGCCTGCCTCGCCGTACGCGAGTGCCTTCACGGGCGCCAAGGAGCAGAAGAAGCTGCTCAAGAAGAAGGACAGGATGAAGGGTGCCGGTGGCTTTGCGGGCCGTATGAAGCCCAGGCCCTCATCCTAACCACATGCTTCATCTTGCAACATAGACCTGGATTGTGCCTCGGTTTTTTTTTTTTTTTTTTTT